AACCACCAGTCATAGCCGCTTAATGTTCACTGTAGGTTCTTGTTCAAATATGAAACTTTCTAGTTTTTTTTCTGTCCTCTAAGATATAACTCTAAGAACAGTGGGCATGTGCTGACAGGTTGCAGTATGACATTGATTCAGGAGCCACAAGGACGATAGACACACTTTGTGTAGTAGTTTATTGTGTAATGGGGGGCATGCTCTGTATAAGCAATCCACTGACCCTCTACTACCCTTAGACACTATATGATTTTTATATTATTTTCATGAAATGTCATATCCTGAATGTACAGAAAACTTCACATTAAAATATGACCACCACTGCACTGTGTTTTGTTTGTGATAGAACATCTAATAATTAACAATCGGTTATATTTTCTGGTCAGACAGGCAAGTGCTAGGTAAAGGAAAAAGAAAAGTGAATCAGGCTGGAATAATAAAAGAAGAACAGGAAAAAGGAGGGACAGCTAAAAGCAAGAAAAATGCAAAAGGAAGAGAAAGAAAACAGAAGAAACAAAGGCAAAGGGAAGAAAAAGTGAATGAAGCGCAAGAAAGAAAAGGGACTGAAGGAGAGGGGGAGAAAACAGAAAAAGGAAAAGCAAGCTAATGAAAAAAGAGGTGAATAAAAAGTGAGTGAGGGAAAAAAAACAAGGGCTTAGAGTAAGTAGGAAGGTTGAGTAAGCACAATGAAAACCTTGTGAATCTTAGTCCTTAGAAGTCAAGCTCTTACTTGTATTATGTCATACTATTACACATTGAATTACATATAAATTCCCATTACATTCCTTTATTTTACTTTAATGTCAAAAATATTTCAAATGTAATGACAAAAATGTGGTAAAAATGCAATGGATGTAACTGCACTCTTTTCATCACATGAATAACGTTTCATCACATTTAAAACAAAGATCTCCTCTTGTACTTACAAACACAAATGTGGTGTTGATGGATAGTTTAGAAGCTACACTTCTAACAGAATTGCCATGCTTATTTAAATAAGACAGGAGTGAAAAATAACATTGAATTAAAACCATGCTTTTGTTATCACGGACAAGGACTGTAACTTCAAAGGTTTAACCTTATCAGACTGAACTTCTCGCTGGCATCCATTCAGAAAAAATGATAATGGGCCTTTAGATTTGTTTACATTTGCCACTGGAGGAAGTGCAGCATGTGCATGTCCACATTGGATATAGAAAAAATAGTGCATAGAATCGGAGATTTCTGTGTGCTTCTGTTTTCTATCACTGCTTAAAAGATGCAAGGCTTCCTTTATTGCTAAATGTGTTGTGACTTTTTTCAGGTAAGTGCTTATTATTGTTTTAAAGTAACAATAAAATGCAACTGATGTTCCTTATATTCCTATTAATGTGTTTGCTTGTTCAAAAATGTAGTTTGCATAACAAAAAAAATCAGCTAATTGCTTACTTTGTTCATATTCATTACATCGAATAAGTGCAAGAACTGCCCTGAGAAGTCACGTTTTTAACGGAGAAGAGCAGATTAAACAGCAGAAATAGTCGTGTTTTGTGTGGCCATAAAGAGTTAAAGCTTTCTTATCTAACTGTAGAATAAAAGCTGCTGAATCTGATCTGTGTTTGTGTTTGTGTTCCCTGCAGTGCTGAACGGGCCTCCCATGTCGGTTAAGAAAGAGAGAGAGGCAGAGCTTCTGATGGGAAGGAGAGAACAACGCACCGGAGAAGTGATCTGCATCGACGACTAAGGCCATCCTTACTCACACACACACACACGTTTGCACACATTCTCACAAATCCAAGCCTTTCTCTCCGATCCCTCAGCTCATTACAGTAATGGGGAATATGCAGTGAATAGTATTGGGAGATAATTGGCAGAAGTGAACACCAAATGAATAAAAAAAAATCTTTCCCCAAAACACATCACATGCTTGTGTATGCGCCTTTAACTGGCAAACGCTCTTGTTACTATAATGGCAGCGCTTTGATGAAACCCAGTGTTAAAGTCTAAGTAAACACAACAAGACATTTTTCACACACAGTCTCACAACTCTAATACACTCCTTATTGTAGACCTGCTCTCTCGCTGCCTCTGTCCACGTCAGAATCTGCCTCAAACCAACTGTTCACAGTCTGATAACTCAAAGCAATCTGCGCATACACACAAACCACACATATACACACAACCCCAGAACCTCACTAGCACCCTGCCTCCCCACCCACCCTGACTCAGAGATGAAGCTGCATGTGAGTTTAAAAGGATTTGCCATGCTTCATGTTAGCACACCCCCCTCTCATTTCAGCAGCATGCTTGTCACGTTCTGTGCTTCAACAGAAGGATCCATCCATGCATCAAACTGTGCCTATCGTTCCATAGTGCAGTCTCAGCAAAATATCCACAAGTCTGTCATCACAACTCATTTAATTTTATGTCGTAAAAAAGACCGGCAGGACTTTTTTTGTTGTTTTTTATTGCTGCAGTACTAGTAGCTATGGACCATGCTTTGTTAACTAGCTTAACAGAGAGCATGTGGCTGGAGGATATTGCTGTTCAGTACATTAACAGTCATGGCAGAGAACAGTATTGAGTAGTAAAAGCTGACTTCTGTAAATCGCAGCTCTTGCTATTGTAACTACCCCACCTAACAGTTCAGTTTTTGTTCAATGGCCTGAAGTGGTTAGGAAAGAAAATGCAGTATTGATTGTGGTGTCACAGTTGGATAGAAAGGTGTTTTTGGCATTTATCTTCGTCTCGGAAAAAAAAAACAGGCACCGATCTGTATTTAGATTATTGGCACATAGGTTTGTCTCATTCAGAGGTTATGGGCTCAGCCTGGAAAGGTCTTTAAACGAAACCTCTGAAAGTTATTTATCTCTGTCAAGTTCATGATGGTTATTATATACTATATAGGACTATATCAACAGTCCTGTGCTTCTTCTAATTCCCATCTACCCCCAACCCTCATCACTCTACGCTCCCCTCCTTTCACTGAGACAAAAAAGTCACCCACTTCCTTATGTCTCAGCACTCCTTTCCTCTTTGTCATATTTCTACTTCTCCTTTTTACAAAGTCTCTGAATTGTTTGCATATTTAAACTCGGTTCATTGTGTTTTTTCTGTGTTTTTAATCCTTGTTATAGCAACTATAATTATTGTTGAACGTTGCTGTTGATGTCGTCCTTGATGTTATAATTGCGAAGCTTTTACCAAATGAAAATAAGAAACAAAAAAACATTGAAAAGATAATTCTTCGTAAGTTTGGTCTATGATGTTTCTCTATATACGGCATATTGTAATGATAGCCAACGAAGAGGTTGAACGAACTTCGGAACAATTAACATCTTTCTAGCTTGCAATCTACAGTAGATTTGGGGCTTGCAAATAAATGACCTATACGAAGTGGATCACTTATGTAACCCTGAAATGCATTGACAATATAATGTATGCGTCTATTATATCTAAAATCTGAAAGCAAAATTCCTCCATCAGCTCTGGCACGTCTCAGAGTTGACACCTTTGGCTCCTGAAATGCACAGTATTATAAGCGCCTTAATTAATGGTAAAAACAACTGTAAAGAGTCACACAGAGTTTGTAAACTCTGTACCTGCTTGTTCTTATACTGTCTTTAGCTAGGCCTCAACTCAAAGTGATAGTTGATGAGTTGAAAAGTTAATTTATTTGCTCCACTCCCTGGCATACCTCCTGCATAAGACTGAGAAAAAATGATACATTTCAGTGCTTGACAGTAATTGGGAGAGTTTAAGTGTTGTATCAAGCACTTTTTTGTCCACTCTATATTTCTGTTTTCCATTTGTTTTTCTTTTTTCAACAGTTTTGTGTTTTTTTTTTCTCATTTATTGATAAGTGTCACTGTGTAACTTGTGGTTCCAAACCAGTTCCAAAATCAGTGGCTATGTTGTGGTTTGACTCCGGGTGGACAACGAACGGAACATGTTAATAATACATCTTTCTTTTCATTTTGTTTTGTTTGTAATAAAGATTCAAATGAAAACATTATGTAAAACTGTGTTGGTTATCAGCAAAGAATGGCAGTATGGGGTCTTCATCATGTACAGGGGGCTTTAGTCTCATAGAGGTTTGTTGTACTACTAAAGCAAAATAGGTTGTGCCTTTTTGTTATCACTGTTTCTGGTTGTGTGAACCCACAAACTGATGATTCATCCCAATCCCCAAGAATGACACTGTTAGATCTTGGATGAGTCAGGGATGAGATTGTTCACATTCAGCCAAACTCTGCAGTTCTCAAAAGGTCATCTAGAAACAAGTTCTGGTGGCATTTAAACTCGGACCTTTGCCATTTCATAAGTCTATTTATCGGGTGAATCAGCTCATCAGGTTTAAAGCAGTTGAGCATATCACCCATCACCTCTCTCTCACACGCTTCTCACTTTTGCCATTACGAAATCTCTGGCACTGATTTAATATTAGCTTTATGTAACAGTGCAACCTAACCAACCAGTTTTTAAGACCAGTTTTTTTTAATCATTTATATTGTCATGGTCAAGCAAACCATTTAAGGTCAAATAAATTGAAAAAACAGTATAGAGATATTGGTTTAGAGTTGGAGGGGAGAGCCGTGGAATTTTAACCTGGCTTTGGACTCGCCCTGGTTGCACATTTATACTCACACATGCAGCCATTCCACACTTTACCTCAACCCAGACGAGTTTATCTTGGATGTCGTTTCTGAAAAGCAGAAACCCCTGCAGCAAGCCAACTGTGGATTGTGTGCAAGGAGCAACCAAAAACGTGAAAAAAAAAGTTGAGAGGGTAGAAAAAAGGGGGAAAGACTGGAAGGGGAGACAAACAAGCACATGTTTTTCCTCCAAGGTTTTCAACTATTCAGTCGAGATAATGATACAGGAAGTGAGAGCTGGAAGCATGGGGAAATGGAGAGGGGCTTTAGGGGGAAACAAGGAGTGCTGGGGGGGCAGGATATACAAAAGGGAAGCAGAGGCATGATTAGGAAATCCAATCGCAACAAAGTGTGTTTACAATGGCAAAGTTTCCATTTCAGATTTAATTAACAGTAATGGTAATATTTGTGGAAGCTTTACAGCCAAGAGACGTTGATATATTTTTGGTCACAATGAAACACTAGCTGTTTCATGCATCACTAATCAGTAAGATTAAATGCAATAAAGACAGTATAAAAATCTGTAACCTTACCTTTAAACAACTTACAAAACTGTGCATTGTATTAAAAAAACAAAGGCATATTGTGACTTCATAAGAAGTTTCATCTCCATCAACGAACTCCGGAACTAAAATATGTAATCAGCCACCAACTTGTACTGTATTTTCACAATCTGAAGTCAGAAGTGCTTACAGTACGGCATACTAGACACTTAAAGCAAAATGTCAGACTTAAGATGCATTGACTGTGAAGGTCAGTATAAAGGACAGAATATTATTTGGTGCATAATTAGAATCCTCATCACAAGCCAAAACTAATTCAAATATAAGGCATACATGGTTCAGGACAAAGTTTTGGTACAACCAAGCAATCAGTGGCAAAAACTACCATGTCCAGTGGTCCCTCTGTCATTACTGATCTTTTTGTTCAGTCTGGCTGCCACTCTCTGAGGCAGCCCTGTTCCTGGAGCAACGTCTCTTGCATGCTACAATTGTAAGCACAGTTGGTGTTCTTTTGCATTTAACAAGGCATTCTATGCCCAGACCAAAATGTCCAAAATAGATCCCCTGTAAAACGGTCCAACAGTCCAGGTCTCCGAGTGTTTCCTCAAACTAAATGTTTCTTTATTTATGCCACCATTGAACGTATGGTCATCATTTAAACCACTGACAGGTGCCTCTGGAAACATCCTTTTCTCTGTCCTGGCCAACGGCATGTAACTATGGGCTCAACCAAGAGCCGAGCCATCGGGTCAGAGTCAAATGCAGGTTTAATAAAAGAAACAATAATGGTCCTTGGAGCCAGTGACCAGTGACTGTTGCAACCCTCCAAAAAATGTAGTCATCAAGGCTGAATTGTCCTTTAGTTAACCTTGAAGAGGCCGAAGTAATGTTTGCCTGAAACCTGCAGAGCGAAGGAGTTTCCAGTCACAGCCTTCAGCTCGGCCCCCTTGTCTAGGAGCAGCAGGCCAGAAACCTGGCAAGGCTTCAGGAAGTGGAACTGGTGCGAGCCGGCTGCTGGAGTGGTGCCGTATCCCTCCATGCACCGCAGCGAGGGGCCTTTAGGGACAGACACTTCCAGCTTCACATACTGACTCTGATTCTCATTGAAGTGCACCTGAAGGAGAAAGGAAAAGGAAGGTGAGAGAGTTGGAGAGAGAGCAACATGGGAGGCAGACCAAAAAGAGAAAATGCATGAAACGTAGGCAGACAGCCAAGATATGTTTGGCGTCCAAAGTTCGCTGCTTAAGTTTTGCACTGGAGCTATGAAGTTAATACAGTAGAAGTCTATATCACCTAAAACAATTGTGCGTGACAGACTTCCATTACTTTTTAGCTACATTAGCCTACTAGTTCCAGTGCGAATTTAAAAAGCAAACTTTGGACACTAACCACATCTTGGCTGACTGACTACATTTGGAGTAACTGTAAATTTTATTTATCACTGAAATATTTTAAAATAACGGTGCCAGAAAGTTCTCTGGAGCGATGCCACAGAAGAACTTTCTCTGGATAGTTCTTTAAAAGCTCAGTCAAAACGACTCAACTGAAAGGTTCTTTAGGGAACCCGAAGTGGTTGTTCTATAGCATTGCTCCAAAAAACCCTTTCTGGCATCTTTATTTTTAACAGTGCTGTTAGCCACATGATCTCTAAGGACCAGTCAGCGGGTCCAAATTTTTATTCCTCGCTCTCATAACTACGTGATTTAGATATTAGTTTTATAGTAGTTACTGAATCATTTGTAGTAGTTGCTGAATATTATGCAGAGAGTTCAACGGGTTAAAGTTTTAGTAGCTTCTTCCATGCATACAGTATGTTGGTAAAAGTATGAAACAACTAGTTTCACTCCACTTACTTGACAGTAGAGGAAGTAGACACCCCTCCGCACCACTTTGAAAGTACCGGTGTCTGCATTATAATGCACTGCTTGGGTCATATTCAGCTGCTGTTCAGTCCAACCCTTAATGATTCCTTCACTCCCCACTGTAACACACCCACACTCACTCATTAGTACTGAAGAGTTCACATGATTTGGTACTACTGCAAATGACTTTTTTTTATCATACTTACCTTTTTGGAGGGAATCTTTGGTTACTGTTGAAAACAAGATAGACTTAAGTACTTTTTGGAAAAATAAGTTAGTAATGTTCTATTCTTAAATAAAAATAAAACACTATTTTATAAACTTACTCTCAAAGTGAGAGGCCACTTTCTTTCCATTTCCATATTTTCCTCTGCCTGTTCCCACTTGAAAAAGGAAGGAAAAAAGGAGAGATGTTTTGGAATAAATAATAAATGCTGGAATGAATTCTGCTAGAGAAATAAGTAAGTTGTCTATTCCTTTCACCTTACATGCCATAACAGCTGTGCAGATGCAAACATCATGAATTAATCTAGAATCATTTATCGACCAGCTGAGACCCTGATCGTCTGTCCAGATGGTCAAATATTTCCTTTCCTTTCCTCTTTTCTACACCTTTCAGCCATTGTTTTCAGCCAGCACACAGCCATGCACAGTATTTTTTATTTTCACCCGACCAGATGGTTCTAGTCAACAAATTAAGGAAAAAAAAATGGCGAGACGGAAAAAAATGGAAAACAAATGAAGAGAGAAACTGCTAGAAGAGGGGGTCTATGGCTCTTTTGTGACCCTGAAGGGGCTGTAAAGATTCCGCCTGTGAAACGGGAGAGAGCAACGGCCGTGGCTACTATTCAAGTAACTGCAATAAATTAAACAATCCACCTTGAAAAATGGGTGAAGAGAGATTTTTCTCGGCCCTCTCCAGTGGTTCTGTTTTTTTCTTCTGCGTCTGGGCTTATGGGAGCTGCCTGAACTCCCAATAGTCCATCAAAATGTGCAGCGAACGATCTGATACAACTCAGACCACAAACCGTAAACATCAAAGAGAGCCCCGAGAAGCAGTTCACGCAAATGTTATTGCTGGCGTACTGGGTGAACTCGCAGCCCTTCACTGTCCCCAAAGGATGCTATTTATAGGCAGGAGAACAATGATGCTTCGAGGAATGATTGTGGATAAGCATTTTGGCTCTGATTTCAAATAGCTGTCAGGTGTCACTTGAAGCCCTTCAGCTGTTCATTAGGCTCTAACAGTCCATCTATTATACAGTAATGTTTATTTGGTCAGTCTTTCTGGCCACTATTACTGCACGTCTGTTTTCCAGTGTTAGCACAACATGTACGTTCTGTACTCGGGCAACCAGGCCAGATGTGTTATCGCATAATTACAACAGCTATCAAAGGCCATTTGTAATTACACAAAATAGCAAATTGAAGCTATTTCAGGCTTCAACGAAGGGGTCACTTAGTTTACAATGTCCCTGAAACCACCAAGCCTGTGCGGTCCTCATGCCAGTTGGTTTTGCTCGGTGTACGTCCATCCAGCTCAAAACCTGCAATTTCTCCTGTCAGTCAGTGAGCTGCCTACTGCTTCCTGTTGCAGCTTTTAGAAACATGTGCCCATTGGTTTACCCAAGCTGCCATGCTGTCCAAAGTTCCTTAGTCTCTGTAAATATCACACGCAAAGGATAAAGGCTGTCCTTTTTGGTTGCCTGAGATGGCAATCAGAGGCACCTTGGTCAAACGTTTAAGACAAATATAGTCTTAAAAATGAAAGGTGGCAGAAAGAGTTCTTCAGCAAAAGACTTTTCATATATGGTCCTTTAGAGACCTCAATTGAAACCACTCAGTTTAGAGTGGTGGTTCTCAAACAAGTCTTCAGGGACCCCCAAGTGGTCCACATTTTTTTAGCTTCATCCCTGTGTTGGCAGTTCAGATTGACCAAAAATGTGAACCATCTGCGGGTCCCTGAGGACGGCCTGAGAACCACTGCTTTAGGGAACAAAAAGTGGTTCTTTAATGGCATCACTCCAAAGAACCTTTCTGGTATCTTTATTTTTTTAAGAGCATGGATTATGGTATGTACCTTGGACCCTAAAAATGGCGGAGAAATTGATGTGTCCAGGTGGCATATTTAACGTCAGTGTTTCATTGTTGTGAAACGTGAGGTCCACTGCTCATGGCAGCTGTTCTTACTTTCATGGCATGTGGTCATTCATTTGACATTGTCATTACATTGTTGTCATTTATATATAAAACCAATGAATACACTTAACAGTTTAATGTCATTTACTCCCACAGTACCTTCTCTCCTCACTCGTGGGCCCTCAAGCAATTCTCTCTTCTCCAGGAAGAGCTGGACAATAGCCTTGCGTTGCATATTCACCTGGAAGAGAGAGAGTATGTGAGAAAGGGAGAGAGAGAAAAAGAGAGAGAGAGAGAGAGAGATGTAAATCAGTGGTATGTGGTTTAAGAGAGTTAGACAGATGAGTAAGTTCATATTAATCAATGTCTCTTGTGGCCACCCACAAACCAGCTGAAGCCTGTGAAATAATCAAACCCACAGACTTTTCTCCTCCAGACACAAACAAACAGCCCCCCAGAGTTTGGCACCCACTCTGTCACTCCTCTGTTAATAGGACCCCCACTTTGCCTAAACCAAAACTGTTTGCCACATCTTATACATTCTTTCTGCGTGCCACACATTCCTGAAATGTTTCGACTCCCTCGCTGAGAAAGAGAGCAGAAACAACGAGGGAAAGAAAACGTTAGCAAAAATTAGGAGCAGCCAGGCGAGCGTCGTCAGCAGTTTGAGCAGACTTTGGGCAGAGAGCCTTACAGCATGAAGAGATTACGCAACGCTCCTATGCAATATTCAGCAACAATGGATGGTAGCCCTGCAAAACTGAGCAAAAGTGTAGAACAAAGGTGCACATCTGCTTTGTTTGTTGGTTTGTTTATTTGTTTGTCTGAGCTGTATAAAACAGCAAAGAGTACCACGAGGTCAGCCGAAACCACAGCACAGCGCAAAACCAGTGGCAGAGTCATGTGTCTCCCGAGCGCGCTCGCTGAATCAGCATGTGTTTGCATGTGCGTGTGCGCGCACGCGTGAGCGCGTCCTCCACTTTCCTCTGTGCAATTAACTGCGCTCTACCCGCGCGCGCCACAACACAGACTGGGAAGGAGCTGACGGCGTTGCGCCTTTAAGCGCGCGCCCGTCGAGCTGCACTCCGCTCGCTCACTCAGCCATAACTCCATAAGCCATAATTACAGCCGCGCGACGCGACAGCCGCTGCTCTGAAACTGCGCGTCCGCCGGCCGCCGCGCGCCAAACAGCGCAGTAACTTCCAGTAAACTGCGCTAAACACGGACCGCAGCTGGCAGCGCAGCCACCGGGCTTTGGCACAGAGCGCGAGGCGAAATAAACCATCAGTCAGAGCGCACAGGCGCTTAGAGCCGTAAAAAACGTCCCGCAGACCCCCAGCACTGCACAGCTGCCCCGCGGTCACCCCAGTCAAAACTATAGTGTGTGTTTGCGTGTGTGTGTGTGCTTCTCCCAACACGACGTTTAAAGAGATCGCAGCGGTAGAGCGAATTCAAAACAGCGATGAAAAATGAGGATAACAGCTGACAGCCCCAGAACTAGAAAAGCGACCGGAGAGAGAGAGAGAGAGAGAGAGAGAGAGAGAGGTGGGGTGAAGAGAGGATTCGGTTATTCTAAACCATCCGCTGACACAGTAAGAAACTCGTGTTTATTAGTTTCAGCTAACATAGACTTTCTCAGCAAAAGTAAATACAATAATTGAGCTAAATTATTATTATTATTATTATTATTATTATTATTATTATTATTATGCAATTGTGGAATAGTGAATAGACCATCACTTTGTCATTGAGTGCCAACAGAAATTTGCCCTGAATCACACACAATACCAACACTGGCCCCTAATACCTCACACACTGTCCCACAATACTGGCACTGTCCCATAATACCTCACACAATGTTGTACCTCACATACTGTCCCACAATACTGGCACTGTCCCATAATACCTCACACAATGTTGTACCTCACACACTGCCCTACAATACTGGCACTTCCCATAATACCACACACAATGTTGTACCTCACACACTGCCCTACAATACTGGCACTGTCCCATAATACCACACACCCTATTATATCTCACATGGCCATAATGCCTAATACACTGCCCCTTAATACCTCATACACTGTTATACCTCAAACACTGCCCCACAATCCCAACACTGTCTCTTAATACTTTGCACACTGTCCCACAATACCAACACTGCCCCATAATACCCACTGCTCTCTCCCATAATACCAACACTATGCCATAATAACTCCCATGCTACCCCATAATACCTCACACGCTGTCCCATACCCAACACACTGTCCAATATTACCTTGTACATTGCCCCCAATACCTTATACACTGTACCATATTACTTGTCCCCTTGGCAAGCGCTCTACCCTGTACCAGTAAGAGTCCTTGGGCAAGACTCCTAACGCTGCCCTCGCCTACCTGTGTAAGCTGATCAAATTGTAAGTCACTCTGGATAAAATCAATTAACAAACAATGGCAATACCATCCCATAATGCTTCAGAAACTGTCCCATAATACCCGCTGTTCCATAATGCCAACACTCATACATAGTCCCATAATGCCTCAGACACAGCTCCTGTTCTCACAGTATGTGATAATACCCTTCACTCTGTCTCATCATACCTCACATACTGTCCCACAATACCAGCACTCTCCTATGATACCTCACACTGGCCTACAATACCTCACTCATCGTTTTATAATACCTCACACACCCCATGTCCTTTTACTTATTTTAGTGTAATGTAATGCATTTTGGATTGAAACACAATGTATTTGAAATCCATTTCGCCCATTAAAAACCAACACACTTTCATGGATCGTAGGGGACAATACCCAACACACGCTTTCATAAGGTCGAACACTCACCCTCCGGTAATGCCCAGCACCGCGCCTCACACCACCTGAAGCTCCCCCCCCGCCCTCCACCCCACCAGCGAAGTTGTGAGTGCCTGGTGCAGGCGCGTCTGCGCGCGGTGGCTCGCTTACCTGCTCCAGTCTCTCGCGCAGGCTCTGCACGGATCTGCGGAGCTCTGTGCTCTGCCGCCACGTCCACGCGGTGAGCAGCGCGCTGCAGGCAGCCAGCGCGAGCGCCGCCACCGCCACGAGCGAGCAGGCGAGGCGCAGCGCGCGCCCGCGTCTCCGGAGCACGAGGCGCTGCATGGCAGCTTCAGCACGCCGACACGACTCCCTTAGCGCGCGCTCCAGACGCGCAGCACGTGCACATTTCGAGGTTCTGTTTGTGTGTGCGTGCGTGCGTGTGCGTGTGCGTTTGCTGCAGGTTCCTGAGCGCGCGTGCTGCACCGAACTTAAGCGCGATCGCAGATGTTGGCTGCTTGTTGCAGCCTAAACCGCGAGACGACGGCCATCAGCGACGAGCGTGTGCCACGAAATCGCTTCTGCAAGTGGAAAACAACAAAAAAAGTTGCAGGAGTTGCAGGAACTGCAGTTGGCAAAAAAAAAAGAGAAAAAAGAAAAAAAAGGTCTCGCTCTGTCCGTGTGAAGCGTTGGCGCTCCTCCTCGCGCTTTCTGACGGACGGTGCGCGAGGCAGTCGGTGAAAGGTCGCGTTTGAAAGCGCTTCGTCACGTCCAAGAGCTCAGAGACGCAGCGCAGCAGCACAGAGAGAGCAGCACTGAGCACACAGTGGAAAAAGAGAGAGAGAGAGAGAGAGAGAGAGAGAGAGAAAGAGAGACTCTTCCAGATTTCCTTCCCCATGGTGTGATGCCAAGTATTCTTTTCTTGAGGGGGGGGGGTACCATTTTGATTTGCCCTGCTCAAAGTCAACAAGTGCAGTTTCGCAAATTGCACTTGTTGTTGAACTTGAGTTTTGCTCGTCACTTTGCACCAAATAAACCTATCACTGCCAGCGGGCAGCGTTACGGGAACGCACCTCTGGCTGAATTCATTAGTGTTTAAACATTGTTTATAGCGGGAGTAACGGCGTGTCTGCTTCTCTAAAACAACCGGCGATCACAACTGCTTTTGAGCCCGTACAAGTGATGAAGCACAGTACACATCCTGTCACTTTGCCTGCACAGCTGGTTTTATTATACCTCTGTATATCCCTGTGTATCTTATAAGCACGTTCTTTGTCTAATTGACCACAGGGTGGCGCTGCTTTTCCTAAGATTTCAAAGCTGCTCTACTTTTGACCCTTTAAAATAAGGTCTGCAACATACTGGAACAAATTCAACAAGCTGTTCGAGCAGCACCAGCAGCATCGAGTGGTGGAACTCAGTTCAGTGAGCGTTTAATGCAAGACAGGATTCGTTCTTTAGGATTTCCTCTAAGACACCAACACAACAGGCCACCAGAAATTGGCAGCAACGCAGTACAGAGGTTACAGAGTTTAAAAAAAATGTTTATTACAATGAAAGACGACTTACAAAGCAGGGAATGTAAACTTTGTAGAAGGATAGAAGGAGGAAAAAAAGGGGAAAAGGGAGAAAAACGGTTGCAGAACATGAGCAGGGCACTGAAACAATGGAGGTGTGTTTAAGCTTTATTTGAAGCAAAGTGACAACTGGTAATCAGTGGACATCACAAAGCAGCAGTGATGCTCCACACAGGTGTAACAGAACAACAGCTCAGTTATATAAATACAGTACTGCGCAAAAATCTGAGGCCATCTAAGAAAATGACAGGTATCGCTATTTGTCTGGACATTTGGATTTATTTGCTTTAAAAAACAGATAAACACAGAGTTAAGACCAATAAACAAATCAACAGTACATTGTGATTTTGTGTCAGTGTGTTAGCTTAACCATTTCCAGACCTCTCCTTGAGGAAATTCCAGTATACAATTAACATCCAATGCCTGCTTCAGCTAATCAGTACTTTTTTACATGACCTCAGATGTGCTGCTGATAGAATCAAACAAATCCATTGCAATGGCTCAGTGTTTCTATTCTAAAGTTACATAGTGTTGTTACTGACAGACAGACAGATAAGATAAAACAGACAAGATAAACAGATAAACAGCTTTAAGCAATCTTCTTGGCTGCCTAAGACTTCTGCATAAACAGCACGGTGCAAAAGTGTTAGGCCCCTGAGACAGTTATATTCAAAAAGCTATTAATCCTGCCTGTATTCACAAAGCCTCTTAAAGTAGGAGTGCTGATTTAGGATCAGATGTCTTATTTATGATGGTCTTACTGATAGGAACAGATCCTAGATCAGCACTGCTTATCTGAGAAGCTTTGTGAATACGGGCCCTGGGCGGTGAGAGTATATTTGTCCAGATAAAACACCAATATTACAAAAAAAGACAAACAATATTAATACAATAAGTAGTGATTTCATACATGAATGTATTTGGTTAACCATTTCCAAACCTCTCCTCACAGCTGCCCAGTATTATTTGCAGTTTATCATTCAGTACCAGGCTTAGCTAGTCAGTTATTCACTAAATCCAGTCAATGTTGTTGATGAAATTTAACAAATCAGTATGAGGAGTAAGAGCATTGGGGAGAAATCTCAAAACATATATATTAAAGAAAAACTTTTCACTCTATTTATGCTTATATATATTTTTTTCTATTAATATATGGTGCTTTTACCTGCAAAAACACACTTAATACAAAGATAAACTAAACTAATGAACCCTAAGGTGCAACAATGGTCTTCACACACACACATAATGTCAAGCTGTAACTTGTACACAGTTATGACATCAACTCTGCACCACTGTGCTGCTGAAACAACACCGCGCTCTATTCCCAGCGTACTACTTGACAGGCACCCTAAAATACAACTATCTTGCTAAACAAGTTTTACTGTCAGAGAAGAACATCTTCTAAGAGAAAAGATAAACAGTCCAGTAGAACAAAGTGCAATCGTGTCCTCATCTACACACATGGTTATAAACAGACTTGAACACTGTATTACACTCTTACAGTACTTTTTATATCTTTAACGTTCTTTTCCATTGTTTTATTCTCACTGATCTCAGCCAGCACCAAAAGAGACAGTAGCCACGTTTACATGCAGCCTGATAATATGTTAATAATCCGACTAATAGCTCAATCGGAATAGAACACGTCCATGTAAACACCTCAATCGGAATAGACTAGTCCGATTGAGGCCATTCGGAATACAATTTCTATCCGATTGAACGAGGTGGGTAAACTTCTAAATAATCCGTTAAACAGAAGAATAGCCATGTAAACGCCTGAATCCGATTACATTCCAATCGGAACGTGTAAGTATGTTCTGCGCATGTGCGTCGCGTCATGGCGAAAGTTTATACCGTTCAACATGGCGGAGCAGAAACGGGTCTGCAGAGGAGACGAAGTTTATGCTCTGAGCTTTAAAAGACGGCGGTGGGACGGACGTCCAGCTTATGAGTCTCAGAACACGACGTCTTTCTCTCGCCGCTTCCTTTATAAGCACATGTGAAGCACGTTTTCCTGAGTCTGACATCATTTTAAAGCAATTAAAACACAAGCGTGCCAACTGGAAACTCATTTCACGCGGACTGGACCTCACGTGATGTTCGCTGTCATGGTAACGTTTACTCTAAACGCTACTCCACGCATGCGCGTCATTTTGCATCGGCTTACTTGTAGTGAGCATGTAAACGAAGATTTTCCATCAAATCGTTGAATAGAGTGTGCATATAAACACCTCAGTCTGAATCTGTAATCGGATTGTATTCAATCGGATTGGCAAAAATCTTTGCATGTAAACATAGCCACTAGCCACGTTTACATGCAGCCTGATAATCCGTTAATAATCCGACTAATAGCTCAATCGGAATAGAATACGTCCATGTAAACACCTCAATCGGAATAGTCTAATCCGATTGAGGCCATTCGGAATACAATTTCTATCCGATTAAACGAGGTGGGTAAACTTCTAAATAATCCGTTAAATAGAAGAATAATAGCCATGTAAACGCCTGAATCCGATTACATTCCAATCGGAACGTGTAAGTATGTTCTGCGCATGTGCGTCGCGTCACGGCGAAAGTTTACACCGCTCAACATGGCGGAGCAGAAACTGGTCTGGACCTCACGTGATGTTCGCTGTCATGGTAACGTTTACTCTAAGCGCTACTCCACGCATGCGCGTCATTTTGCATCGGATTACTTGTAGTGAGCATGTAAACGAAGATTTTCCATCAGATTGTTGAATAGAGTGCATATAAACACCTCAGTCTAAATCTGTAATCGGATTGTATTCAATCGGATTGGAAAAATCGTTGCATGTAAACATAGCCACTGTCTCTAAAACACCCACCAACACTACTGCAGTATGATGGTCAATAATCACAGAGTACACATCAGTTTTCATTACATATACAGTACTGTGCAAAAGTCAGAGACCACCCTTCATTTAATTTAAAAATCGCCATTATGTACTACTAAAAGTTTTTATTTTTATAATTAGGTATTTCTGGGGAGATTAGATAAAAGATCATCCACTTACATAAGGTAGAGGAAAGTGAAAAAAAGAAACTATAGATATAAAAGAGCACTTAAAGCTTTCATCTTTGAGAAAAATCCACAGGTGTTTCTATCCACCTTTCCACTGTGAGAAGACAACTCAACACTATGAGTCTGAAAGGATGTGTAGCTGTCAAGAAGATCTTACTGAGAACAAGAGGCAGACAAAAAAGAAGACAAATTGCAAATCAAATAAGCTAATTGTGTTCTCAGAACCATGGACTGTCCACCCCAGAGTCCAGACCCTGCCGATTACTGAAAGTGTGAAGAATGGAAGCTGTAATAAAAGCAAAGTGTGGAAATACCAAATACTGAATTATATGATCGTGTAATGTGCTGTTAAATATATGCCTTGTGCTTTTGTCCCTACTAAATGAATAACGTCTACTTAATGGCTGTTCTGACTGGAAATTAAATACATGAAGAGTGTCTGACATTTGCACAGTATTGTACATACTGGATGAATACCTGTTGCTTACTGAAGCTGCTAATTGTCTAAATAGGTGATTGTAATGTAATAATAATTATTTAAAAAATGTAAGATGCAATGAGCTTATTGCACTCATTGCATTAATGTTTTTACATTGTTATTGGTTCTTGAGAGAAAATCATTAAACATGTTTGACATACTGAGATGTTCAAAATTTCAAGTTACTAAAAATCAAAAACTGTATGTGTTAAGCTAGCTTGGACCACCGAACAAACATCCAAAACGTGACACGACGGACATGGATTTTGACCTACCAACAATGCAAACATAAAATGTAATTGCTACCATCTACTCTGTAAACATCTAAAAATGCTGACCATAGCCACAAGGAGGCAGTCCAATTACACACTTTCAGCACTGTGTTTGACAATAACATGTAAACCGCACCACAGTTTACATAAAACTGTCTTGTGTCTTTGGTTGTCATCAACACACTTGATTTACTTCATTAATAAAACACTAGAGTGTGCCCTGGGAAAAATCTAAACACAGAACAGAGAGAAAAGTCATCTTTCACAAAATTATTATTAAACATTTTTCCCTTCTTGAGTGGTTACATTTGCTCCTTCCCTGTGTTGGACCAATAACCTGCAGCTTATTTATTCTGGTTAGGGATGTTGAGGAACAGTTTTACCCTGAAATTTAGGGGTCTCTCTGAGCCAGGTTTTCAAGGGCATCCCCCTCACAGCGCAAGCAGTGGTAGCCAAGGTCAGAGGTCACGTCCCGGCAGCCTTGACCAAAATAGAAGTCGAGAGATGGCTTGTTCCAGTCCAACACAGTAAAATTCAGCTGAGTGCAACCAGCAGCCAGTCCCAGCTGGATACAGTGACAACCCAAAATAAACAGCACAAAAAAAACACACAAGACAATTTTAAATACATAGAAAACAGAAAGAAATCTGACTTCTTTTGTGAAGCTATCAGACAAGCTTCTTGTGTTGTTTACATTTAGCTAATGGAATATCTAAATACACTTTAATATTAGTGGTACATCAATCATGAATTTTTTTTATTTCGTAACAGACAGCATCATGCTTACAAGTTAGAAATCGGCCCAAAACTGTAGTAAGCATAAATGACAACAAGCACAGAAGACAGCTAACAGGCTAAGAGGCTCCTCCACTAGTATTCAGACATAGGCTTTAAGTAAATATTTATGGAACTATACGGTGCAATTGCAACATACAAAGTAAAGGGTACGTTACACATACATTTTACAAGCTTCAAATAAACTGCCTTGAGAGATATTAAACCCAATGTGGGCACATCATCATTAATCAGCATTATGTTAACAGACATAAAAGACCACTCACAGAGTGAATGTTTTCACATGAAATACTGCTATTTAATGAAATGTTCCTGATTATATGACAACAGAAATGTATGAACTGCAATATTCTATGCTTTATGTCAGTACAGGCTGTGCTAGAAGGTTGTAGAGACTACAAGGAAATAATCTGCACGTGTGTTATGGGAGAGTGGTGCTAGCATGATTGATATGAGATAATATAAAATAGTTTCTCGTTGACACAATTGAATACTATTTGTTTAAAAATTAAGATATTATAATAACAAATAGTTGAAATGCCATCAGCCAAAATGGCAACTGCTAAAAAAAATTAACAAAGCCCTCATATACTTAACTGGATCACATTATGTAGTCATTAAATCGCAACACAGATTGGCTAAAATTATCTAAATAAATCAGCCAATTGCTGATTGTATATTAGCAGCAAAAATCATCTGATTCCAATTATGTGTGGTTCTGAATTAGCACCCCAAATTAATATCACACATCCCTCACCTGCGCAACTTTTCTCATCAGTGCCTTGCCAATGCCTTTTCCTGAGGAAGATTAAAAAATCAGTGTGAAACGTCAAAGCATTGATAACTTCAACCAGGTCAGATGTTCTGATCATGGCCTAGTTACAATCAATTTTACACATTTCACACATGCAAAGCAGCAATAAAAGTACTACACTCACCTCTGAACTCTGGCATCACATACAAGTCCTCCATGTACACAGCCCGGCCTTTCCATGAACTGTATGAGTAGAAGTACAGGGAATAACCTACTTTAGTATGACCTGAAACAAACAGACAAACAAAAACACACATTTTACAAACAATCACTGAAAAATACTTTCTCATCATTGAGCCTTTTGTTTTCGCTACATAACTAAAATCTGAGACTCACTTCCTCACCCCACTGACACCAAGCTGAACACTTCACTGCAGTTTGATAATAAGAGGTTGAGTACACCTGAAGGCTATACGGGCACTAGAATGAGTAATAGGGTGAGGAAAATTACTATCAGAAGCTTTGAGGCAAAACAAGAGAACAGAGTATCATGTAACAATCATGTAGCTCAGCTACAGGCGATGGGTGGCCTTAATGAGGTAACGTAAAGACTACACCAACCAGATCAGACGAAAGAAGTATTAAAGGAAAATACCAGTTTAAAAACTAATCTCTATTTGCTGCATCTGCAGAGTACATTTGATTTCCATAAGTGATAATTATTACTATTATTATTATTATTATTATTATTATGTGCAGTCAAGTTGGTTCAGACTATATTCGGAAATTAATCTTTTTGTCTTTCGTCTTTTCCAATTATTTGTTTTTTCTCATTATATGTTAAAAATAAGCTTCAGATTGGTTGTAAACTTCATGTGAGAGGTGAGCTGTATGTCCTCGCAAAAGTATTTCCCAGCATCTAAGTGTTTTTACTGTCCTGCTTTTTTTTTATTGTCCAGCTTTTACATCCATAAAGAAAAGACAGAAAAGACAACAGCCTGGACTATTCTGACCTTTGTTTGTAGAGACACATCATTACATTTAAAGATCTTTTAAAAACTCCTTCATCCTTGTTCTGCCAAGTGCCAGTCTGTGTTGTATTTCATGACTGCTGGATCCTTTGTTGTTATTAATCGATCGAAGTAGCAAAAGCTGTTCACCACTTCAACATCTTCACCATCAGTGATGAAATCAGCTGTCTTTTCATGCTGTCATACCTTTTGTTTTTTCATATTGCGCTGAAGTTCTATCTTTTCTCTCTGTTCTTTGACTTTCCCTTCAGATCTTCCTGACTGTCTGAGTGTTGTGTCATTCACATATTGAAGGTTACTGATGTTTTTTTCACTAATCTTTTATCGCCTTCCAGTCCTGCTTCTCTTTTCATCTGTTCAGCATACAGGTTGAACAAGTATGGTGAGAGTGTGCAGCCTCGTCTAATTCCCTTGCCGATGTGGAGTCAGTCTGTTTTCCATTTTGTGTTTTTACTGTGGCTTGATGATCAGTTTAAAGGTTCTTCATTAGAACAATGAGATGTTCTGTGTACCCATTTTCATGAGGACATTTTTCTTTTAAATAGTGAGGAAAAAAACAGAAACATAAAATACATTGACTCTATTTTAAAGCACTAGCCCACTGGTTTCTATTTTAAGTGTATATTGAGCCAACAGGATTCTTTTCTAAGTACAGGGACATTATTGGTAATGGCAGCTGACTGTACGCTGCATACAGAAGGATAGAGATTACGTGGAAAACATGTGCAGCATTTCTTTAAGTACTGTGCCAGGCTACCTATACTAACTGGACTACTGCTTTAGGAGACTACGGGTGCATATGAATTCTGACACCCTTGCAGTGTTTCCTCACCATCTTTGGACCTGTGCTGTTCAGGAACTTCTGCGATTATTCCATGGAAAAATGGGTTTTTAGAAAAGCCATCCTGCTCTAGATCTACAGAGGACATTAAACACAGTTTAATTAATTACATGTATGACACTTTTACAAAGCAAATTAACAATGCCACTTTACTTTTATATTTGTATTACAGTAGTTACTCCAGAGGGATTTCACCAGTTTTCACACAATGTCTGCATAAGTACATGGTTAAGATGCAAACAAAGCCATTTGTAGTGGTTTGGTGTGAAAAGCAGCATTCGAGAGAAGCTTGCCAGCTCAGAATCATTCTTAGCGTTGGTGATAGGAACCAGAGGTCTCAAGTGTTTATTGCCTCAAAATTCTACACAATGCTCACACAAAGTTATTACATTAAATGATTAGGAATACACTGCCTGGAGCATGAGAAACTGTTTTACTACAGTTCTGAGATCATGTATTTTAAAATACATTCATAGTGGAGGGGTATGAGCAGGACGTTGTAAGGAAAAAGCAATACAATAGAAAATATTTTTGCAGATTTACTATCATTATCAGCATTATATATAAAAACTCAGAAGACACACTTAGGTTCACTGATTTGAATAGTAAATAAAGTGTCTACGTATGACATCAAAAGCCCTGGTTCCTATCACCGCCATTAAAAAGCAATCTGCAGCAAGTCAGCAAGTTTTTGTACAATGAATCTTTCCACATCAGAACAGCTGAATCACACTGTTCACACATGGACAATTGAGCAGAAATTGTGAAAAATGGGTGGAATCTCCCTTTAACATTAACCCATTTGATGTGGTATACCTTTTTGTGTGATCTTCACGTGGTCTGCAACTTTCTCATACTCTGCCAGTTCCTTGTACAAAAAGAATAAAGGGGTTAAAGCACTGCATATGCGTTTCTATGTCCATATCTCTTCATCTGCTGATTGCTGAGTGCTTATTTGTGAGGCTACACGCACTACAGCAGCTCAAACACCGTCCAGCAGGTTTAGTGAAACGGACTGACCAGATGTCAGAATGAATAAGTGACAGTTAATCAAAAACACTGTTCACAGTATGAGCTGCGATGCTGGCAGTGACGCAGCACGCCCATGCAGACGATGACAGCACCATGCTGCTGCTGCAGCTCGTTTTCTCTTCGACACATGTGCGCGGCTCGCGCGGCTCAGCTCACCATGATCATGCGCGCGACATCCTTGCAGTCCTCAAGCGTAGCGGCGCGAATCGTGAAGTCCATTTGACTCAGTGTCGCAAACTGAATACAGAGAGGAAACGTACAGGCTCTGGCAACGCGCTGCGCCGAGTAAGGAAAGGTGAAAAGGGAAGAGGCTAAAACTGCCTTTACATCATAACCGCCTGAACAGCTGTGGCTCAACAGCGCCATCTGTATGGAGGGTCTCAGTAGTGCAGTTCAGCTGACCGCACACAGGTTGTTCGTGAACTTCTGCAATTATTTCATGGAAAAAGGGTTTTTTAGAGAAACCATCCTTCTATAGGTCTATAGGAGCCTCAAAGGAGCATCCATAAAAGCCTCAGTCTTTGCCAGAAAAGATGGGTTAAGGCTCACCTCTTTGTGCCAAACATCATGAAACAATTGTCAAACAGTTCAAAAGACCATTAGACGGCATTGTACGAGAAATTGTCACATTACTGTGTTAAATAAAGCCACATGGGCTCAGGAGTACTTCAGAAAACCATTGTCACATAACACAGTCTGCCGCGGCATCAAGAAATGCAGCCTCAAACTCTATTACACAAGGATAAGGCTGTACATCAATACTGTGCAGAAATGCAGTTGAGTTCTTTGGGCCTGAGCTCATCTCAGATGGTCTGAAATTTGTGCTGGGGTCAGATGAGTCCACGTTTCAGCTTGTTTTGGGGAAAAACAGATGTTGAGGGGTCCCAAGTGGCATAACCATCTAAGTTGGCCCTATGATCAGCTGAAGTCTTGCATCAAGCAAGAATAGGCAAAAATCCCTCGTGTAAAACTGCAAAAATTAGTTCCCAAACAATTTTAAAAAGTGTCATTAAAATGCTTTAATGTAGGCTGCTCTCTTTACAGAATATACATGGGTCTAATGATCAATAAGCTAGCCAGACAGTGCTCTATAAGCTAACCTACAACACACACGTATTCAAATGTAAAAAGTGATTAGTTGGCATGATAAATGATTATAGCTGACTATTTTTTGATAGTTTACTCATCTTACCATTGGATAGCCTACTTCATAATGTCGTTCACAGAGCAGCACTGACCCAGTGCACATTCATTCACCTGTTTGTCACCTGTAAATTAGCCTATCTAATTTTTTACATTTATAAGGCCTACTGAAGAACCAACAATCAGGCATGAAACATTTATGTATATGTACCTTTCCAAAAGCAACTTGAGTAGAAGCACAAAACAACCTGATAACAATGTTATCTTAGAATATAAAATGATAAAATCACAGTTGTGTTAATGTTAATTACTAAAATATAACAGAATATAACAGAAATATATTATTTTCCCCTTAAATATACCTGAGAATGACAGAATTACACTACTTTTGGAAGCAAATGCAAGCAGTGGGTACAGTTTTGCTTTGTACAACTTACTAACAACAGACTGTAAGGCATGAACACATGCTCATACAAACAAACACACACATGCATTACTGTAGCTTGATAAACACTTTTCCCTCCTACTAGTAATGACGCATGCAGAGCGAAGTCTGACCCTGAGGGATAGAATCGACATATACGCTGCAAATCAGCCCCTTCAGGACAAGGAAATAACTATTTATTCGTCACACAGAGAGGTGGAGTTACATCAGTATTCCTCAGCTTCAGTTACTGCCCTCTGCAGGATGCTTTTAAACCTATTTTCAGCATAATATGTTATGTTAATGTTATGTTATGTACTTTATTGATCCTACAAGGGACATTGGTCAGTTTGCTGCCTAACTATGCCCAATTTGAGATATATTATATACATATAATCAACCAACGGTGTGGCAGCAGTGCAGTGCATTAATTCATGCATATGGCCAGCAGCTTTAGTCTATCTGTTTCTCTGCATACTTTGTTAGCCCCCTTTTTATCCTGTTCTTGTTCAATTACAAAGTACACCTATATGGTAAGTGGAGCTGATAAAATGGACAAAGAGTGAAGATACATGGGAGTGTACTTAATAAAGTAGCTGGTTGGTGTATGTACACACACAAAACATAATGGCCACTCACAGATGAAGCGAATAACAATGATTATTTCAAAGACACATGTCAAGGTCTGGGATATATTAGACAGTAAGCAAACAGTTGGTTCTCATAGTTGATTTGGCTGCTGGAGAAATGGGCAGGTGTGGAGACCTGAGCGACTCTGACAAGAGCCAAATCATTATGGCCTGACGACAGGGTTGGAGCATCTCCAAAACAGCGAGGCTTGTGGGGTGCTCCTTCAGCAGTGGTGAGTACTGACCGATAATGGTCTGAGGAGGGACAAACCACAAACCGGCAACACGGTGTTGGGCCCAAGGCTCATCAATGCATAACGACAGGGAAGGCTATCCTGTCTGGTCTTAACTGAGAAGGGCTACTGTGGCACAAGTAAGAAATCTTTAATGATGCTTACAGGAGGAACGTGTCACAACGCACTGTGCCTCACACCCTGCTGAATATAGGGCTGTGTAGCCACAGACTGATCAGAATATCCACGCTAATCTCTGTCCACCGTCAAAAGCGCCTACAGTGGGCCCACGAGCGCCGGAACTGGACCTTGGAGCAATGGAAGAAGGCCACCTGGTCTGATGATTCCCATTTTCTTTTACATCACATGGACAGCTGGATACGTGTGTGGTGTTCAGTTGGGGTGACTATATATATATATATTATGTGAGTGTAAGTGAATGTGTGTGTGTGTGCGTGTGTGTGTGAAATCAGTAGCCCCATATGATATATGTTTTAGCCACATATGTTCCCTGCGAAGATAAGTGAATACTCATTTTTTTAGCCCCATAACTTTGTGGTCAGACAAGCTCAGCACCAGCACAGATTGACCAAAACAAATGCAGCATTTCAGGATTTGGCATTAATGGGTTAAGCATGGCTAAGGGTGTTAACTGTGCTTTAATAGTGAGAATAGGGCTTCTGTGTTATATTAGCCCGTTAGTGTTAAATATAGAGCAGAGGCTGAAGTCTGAACAGAGCATGAACACATGGACACAGGGCGGGGAGGAAATGGACACGCCGTCACTCCACAGTCCACACACAGCGATTTTCTCTCCTTTCCATAATTTTCTCTCCAAACGGGACCTTACCCGCCAGGAAAAAAGAAGAGCTGAACACTGAGTGCAGGGAAAAAAGCGCAGTTACTGATATGTGACGTGTGTGCTGTGCGCAATCAGAACTGACGCATGCGCGGAGAGAGAAAGAGAGAGTGTTTCCGGTGAGTGAGCTGTGTGGGCTCGCGGAGTCGTGAGCTTGAAGGCTGAGAGCCATAATAACCTACGAAAATCAGCCGTTAGTCATGACGTGGAAGTAGCAGAGACCGGCCGTAAGACAAAGGCAGATTCTTGCGGTTGAAAAGTGAAGTTTTAAAGGCCTGAACTGTTTGCGTTTGACACTTTATTTTCAGAAGTGTGACAAAGCAAAAGGTGGAGGAAGGTAGTCTTTTCGTAGAAGAGCATTTCATAGGCCTTGGTCATTCACACTTACGTATGGCTACTGGCAATAACACACATAATAAAACCTCCGGGGGAAAGGTGCGAATTCACGTCACGGCCAGCACAGCTCCTTTTATGCAAGACCCAGAGACCCAGTAAAAATAGCTGATGGACTTTCAGAAAAACTACACTGATGGATGCATTTTACTGTTTTGAAATCTGCTAAACCCCCAGAGGGACCCCCGTTTTCCACACCGACTGCTGACGTCTGAACCATTTTTTCCTAATCAGTCATATAAAGAGAAGTGAGATGATCCCAGAGGCCTCCATCATGGAGTTTGATATATACATACATACATACATCATCTAAACCGCTTATCCTTCTGGGTCGCGGTGGGGTGCTGGAGCCTATCCCAGCTGTCACTGGGCGGAAGGCAGGATAAACCCTGGACAGGTCGCCAGTCTATCGCAGGGCAGACAGACAGACATACACATTCACTCACACCTAGGGGTAATTTACCATGTCCAATTGGCCTGACTGCATGTTTTTGGACTGTGGGAGGAAACCGGAGTACCCGGAGGAAACCCATGCAGACACGGGGAGAACATGCAAACTCCACACAGAAATGACCCTGGTCGCCCAACTGGGAATCGAACCCAGGCCATTCTCGCTGTGAGGCAACAGCGCTACCCACTGCGCCACCGTGCTGCCCTAGTTTGATATATATATTTTTTTAATTCAAAAAACAATACAGTTGTATGCAATAGTTTGGGCAACCCTGGCTAAATCTTTTGTTGATTTTTAAAGTGAAAAGAAATAAACACAACCCCTGCAGCAAACTTTTTTTTTTCTGCAAATGTTAAAACATTTTATATTTGATTAACTTAAAAACAGAAAAACAGTAATTGTGACATGCAAAAGTTTGGGCACCCTTCCAGTTGTAAAGTTTCAGAACTTAATTAACTCATGAGGCCTGAATCGATTTGTTAGGTAAAGAACTGTCATTAGGAATGGACTCTTGTGCTAACACTCCACAACCACTGGCTCCTCTAAGCAATCTGAAAATGAAGCTGATGCCTACTAAGCAGAGGAAGACTATTGTAAGGCAATCAAAGTGCTTTCAGCTCACAATTTCCACTGACCGGAATATCATTAAGAAATGGCAGTTGAAGGGAAATGTAGAAATCAAGGCATGATCTGGAAGACCAAGAAAACTGAAAACAATAGAACTGCTCGTATGCTGGACAGAACAGCAAAGCAATACTCCCATATGACCCCAGAGGAAAGAAAAGTCAAGTAAGAGATCTCCTTAACATCTTTGTAGTTTCTCCATGACAGCTATGAGACCAGATGGGATAGTTTTGAAATTGGCTCAAAATAGCTTTGGAGGCCAGAACAGCAACTAAGGGGAAAAGAAGAAGATCTACCACAGATTTACCCTATGAAATCCTTTTATAGTCATACACCCACAGTTTCACAGAGTAGAAGCTTCATATAAATTTCATTTCATTATTTGTTTTAGTATGATCCTAAATCTAATGACATAATAACAAAGAATGACTAACTAGACTTAGCCATGGAGCAGATGTGCATCAAGTAGTGTTTGGTGAGTTTAGTCATTAACGTTCTTCCACATTGTCTAACGCAGATCCAATATAACTCTTCTCTGGTGTCCTGTTTAGGAAATGAGTAAAGTTTCACTTCC